ATATTCCTTGGACTGTATGTTTGGTACAAGTATTGCAACTTGTAATTAAGCTTGCCAAGCAAATCAAGTCGTTTTTAAACTTCAGTACTTTAAATACACTAAATGGTCAAAGAGACTTTTGGTTGGTGAGGAGATTGGTCAACATATTATGAAGGTGTGGGACAAGCTAGCTACCAAGAAGTTAGATAACTCGATTTTCTATGGTTATAATAATTACCTCTACAATGGCTACATTTACACCGATTAGATATACTTTATTGTATGTTGATGTGACTTGAATCGTACTATCAACCACTACGACTGGAATAGTTGGGGGTCTCGTTGTCTGGTCAGCCAGAAGGATTCTAGGTTTTAGGAAAAGAAGACTATTTATAAGCTGAAGAAGTTCTTGTATGGACTTAAGCAATCTCTGAGGGAGTGGTACAAGAGATTTGACAGTTACATGTTTGAGCTGGGCTACAACAAAAGTCCATATGATTGTTGTGTGTATCACAGCAAGGTAGATGATGGTTCGATGATCTATCTTGTTCTGTATGTTGATGATATGCTGATAGCTACGAGGTCGAAGTCGAAGTCTGATATCCAGAAGTTAAAGGGGCTTCTTAGTGTTGAGTTTGAGATGAAGGATTTGGGAGCTGCTCAGAAGATCGTGTGTATGGAGATTTACAAGGATAGGTCGAAGAAGAAGCTTTTCTTGTCACAGAAGAGCTACATCCAGAAGATACTGTCGAGGTTTATCTTCAGCAAAGCCCTTGAATACTCCTAGTGCTTCAAATGTTCATCTATCCTCAGCTTATGCACCGCAGTCAGAGGTAGAAAAGGAGTACATGTCAAGAGTCTCATATGCTAGTGCAGTAGGTAGCTTGATGTACCCTATGGTATGCACTAGACCTGATCTTGCACATGTTGTTAGTGTTGTCAGCAGGTTCATAATATAACCTGGGAAGGAGCATTGGCAGGCTGTGAAGAGGATCTTCCGGATACCTTAAGGGTACATCTGATGTGGGGATTAGCTTCGAAAGTGATACAGAGTGCTTGGTGTCTGGGTATTCTGACTCGGACTATGCTGGAGATGTTGACACGAGGAGATCGATGATTATGTATTCACTCTTGGGAGTTCTATAGTGAGCTGGAAGGCAACTCTACAGTCGGCGGTGACATTGTCTACTACTGAGGCAGAGTATATGGCGTTGACAAAGCTGTTAAAGAGGGAATATGGTTGAAGGGACTGGTTGGTGATCTGGGTCTACATCATGATCAGGCAGTGGTGTATTGCGACAGTTTGAGTGTAATATGCTTGGCCAAGGATCAAGTCCACCATGAGAGGACTAAGCACATCGACGTGAGGTATCATTTCTTGAGGACAGAGAAGAGGATTAAGGTAAAGAAGGTTGGCACCGCGGATAATCCTGCTGACATGTTCACGTAGCCGGTTCCACATGGCAAGTTCCAACACTGCTTGGACTTGCTGAATGTCTTGAGTGGGTCACTCCGCCCTACGGGCCATTGATGGCATAATAGAGAGAAGAAGCAGAGTACATCAAAGATTTCAGAGGAAGAGAATTCAAGTCAAGGTGGAGATTTGTTGATGTGACTTGAATTGGACTATCATCCGCTACGACTAGAATAGTCGGGGGTCTCTCTGACCAGTCAGCAAGTGGGGTTCAGTGGCAACGCCCTGATGGGGGTGCGGGGGCAACTACCCCGGCCCACGGTGTACGGGCTCAATGTTATTTGGGTCGGGTTTTGGGTCTGGTGTGTAACCGTTTCCTTTACCATATTGGATTAGGTTTAGACTCACATGGAGAAGTATAATACTTATCATCTCCTCTGTAATATGTAATCTCCTCGATATAGTGAAACTGGCTCTCCTGCCCGTGGACTAGCTAACACACATCGTGTTAGTGAACCACGTAAATCGTGTGTCGTGTGCTTTCTGTTTTCGTATTCTTGCTTTCTCGATTCCGGCAATTTCCCGATCCATAGCAGCGCAGTTATAACAATGTTACTATAGGAGTTAGTTATTATAATTTTTATCGAATTGAATTTAGAAAATTAAGATCTGGGATTGATCCATTAAGAACTATGATATAGTAGCATGATTTAAATTCTAGTTAATTCTTAATCCTGATCAAACATTACGTAGGATTGAATGATGAAGTGAGTGAAAAATCAATCATGCTTCACATATACACATGCATGGTCTTCTTAAATATATCAATCAACTATGACGTCCTCTTTAGAATTATTCTTTACTTTAATTCCCCCATTCTTTTATCTATTATTCTTCTCTCTCAAGCAAATCACTTTGACAACTTAAAACAATTATTAAAAAATGCAAAAAAAAAAATGGTATGCATTATGATCTTGGCCCCAATTGGAGCTCTCCAAGTTTGAAAAAACATAGCCAAATGTTCATTCAATGAATTAATTTAGACATTTAGTTGCCATCATGGCGGCATTGCGCCCTAATGAAGAAAACCATGTAAAAAAAGTATCACTTCTATGGTAACATTCTATACACTTTTTTCTGATACTGAGCACGTCTAATTTTGAAGTTATCTTGATATGTACCAAAAAAAATCGTGAGAGTCTAACACAAAGTAGAGGCATGTCAAAAAATGAGCTGGTCGATTAATCCTCTGCAGAGCTAGAATCAATCTTCTGAGGATGGTAGGTCCAAACTCAACACCGGCGAGAACCAACCGGCAGAAAGAAGAAAGAAACCCTCCCTTGCTTTAGACTTGGTCTTGGGTTTTCTCTAGTCTTCCTTTTAAAATCCCTTTTGACATAATATCATTCTCTTTCTTTCAAACTTGTGTAATTAGTACTCGATTGACTTTGGAACCAGCAAACTAATTTCTCCCTTGGACATGTAAGATGATATCGACTAGGTAAACAATGCCTTCCACCTACTTTAGTTCCTAAGATTAAGGAATGGCAGATGGATGGATAGTGCATATCTATTATTATCCTATTTAAAATAGTTTGGGTTTTATTCATATCCATACTATACAAGAAATGGGTTTAATATCAAAACTATACTTATACTCAATCGGGTTTCGAGTATTCACCGTCATCCATGGATAATCATTTGTATTTACAACTTCAACAAACATGTTAACAAGTACACGTATTTTAATATTGCATAAGTAGACAATAAATTACTAAAACAAAGAAATTAGTTAAAAACAATACAATTTCATAAAAATATTATATATGTATGATACTATAAGAAACACGGATCTAGGCGTGGACGTCTAGGGTTCGTGTATCGACGATTGGCTAAGTCGAATTGGGAATTGAAGTAGAAATTAGGGATTGGAAGGAGAAGCTTGAGAAAGAAGAAAGAAATAGGACTTCCAAGGAAGAGGAGGGCCAACGGCTACAAGGGAAGGAAGAGAGGGAGAGAGAGTAGAGATTTAGGGTTTAGGGAATAATTGTTCTGTTATTGCTTAATTAGAAAAATCCTCACTATAACAGAATATATAACCCGATAAATTCCTTATAACTACGCAAAGTAATACTTCTTAACAAAATATCCCCGAAATAACCGACTAACATCCAAATAATTATAAAACGACAAATAAGTCCAAAACAACACCCGCGGTCCGAAACCATGTTTCTAACAGATACATATCAAATATATTGAGAAAAATGATTATTTTTAAAAAATTAATTATGCACATGTGTATAATCGGGCGAGTTCGGATTGGATGCTGAGAAAATTATGCCGACTCGTCACCCACGATATTTGGGTTCAAGTTCTATCCATAGCCAGTAAAATCCTTTGAATTTGATTTTCACCTACCTGATTAGATCGGATTTAAACGGTTATTCACAGACTAAGATTTACTGTTCAACCTTTTTTCCAACAACAATAACTTCTTATACCAATGAATTGATTCTTTCACCCACTAGAGTTGTAGACACGAGATTTGTGGGGGTTTTTTTATGAAGGTGAATAATCATTAAACAGAAAATACACCAGAGGTGTATGGAAAGAGGTTCAGAGTACAAAGAAATCGAGAAACAAACTGCAGCATCCCGGTAAACAGACCGGATCCTACAGCCAAAACAAGAAGGAAAAAAAAAAGAAAAACAGAAGAAGAGAAGATACAAAAAAGAATAGAAGATACAAAACCAAGGGCAGCCTAGAGTAGGGAGAGCCAAAATTCTCACATGATTCAAACTACAGCTCAAAACCAAAATCACAGCTACCTCAGGGAATACTTGGGCAAGTCTCTCTCAAGCTACTAATCCAACGCGAACTGTTGTCATCATTAATCAATCCTGCCGAAACGATCCATTGCTGAAGAGTTTTGTCAATCTTTTGAACAAGGCTCCGCCAATGTATCTACCTTCGAAAATTCTAGCATTTCTTTCTTTCCAAATCTCCCACATAAAAGCATGAAGAAGGAAATTTTGGAACCATCCAACCCAAGTTGGCGGCTCTTCGTGAGTCCAGCATTGAATCAGTCCATCAATCCTCTCCGGAAGTGGTCCCAAAATCCCCAAAATCTGCACAAAACAGGCCCAGATTTTGCTACTGTACTCACATGATCTGAAAATGTGCTTACTAGTCTCAACGTTCTTCTCGCAAAGGCAACATCTATTAACAAGATTCCATCCCCGTCGTTGCAAGTTATCATGTGTGAGTACTCTGTTGTTTGTGGTTATTGGAACAACTACTTAATTATGGGGGTCATTTTCGAGTTGAATGTTTGTATTAAGAGAGGTGAATTCACTCTTTTCCACAGACCACAATCAACGTCAATGGATTTTAGGGTACTACTTCTACATATAAGAATTTTCGGTGACAGGAGCTTTCCTTGAATCATAACTCTGGGTTTTTTTCCTAAGGCCGGTTCCAAACTTCCGACCAACCAGAAGTTCGAATCATAACTCCATCAAGCAAGATCACCGACCTTTCTTCCCGTTATTTATAAACAATTAAACATAATAAAACATCCCATTGGTCAAGCACTCAAACTCGTGTTCGTTGGCATTATTAATGACTTCTGAATTGTGATCGAAAATGACAATTGTTCGACAATATTAAGATAAATTTATACTTAATCATGTTGGCGAGGCACATACTGCTACACATATTTGCCTATAGGCTACGAGTCCTTGCTCGGCGTAACTCTTGCTCGTAGTAAAACGTAGTACAGAATGGCTAGTTTCTTGTCAATGCTGTGCAGCCTGCAGAGAAATAACGTCTGTGACAAAACTACATTTATCTTTGATCTTCCCCCAATGTTTAAGGGATCTGTTACACAAAGTTTCGGATAGAAGAAAGCTCAAAACTACGAGTACATTGTCGGAGGAACTGATATATTGACAAACTAGCTGATCTACCGGCGGCAAACGAACCCCAGAAGTTACCCACTTCTGCTGGTGCAAGAGGGAATGTCGTTCATGCTTGCTGTTTGCATTGCTTCATTAGCACGATGAATTCTCCGAAGACTGGTGCATGAAGAAGAAGGAAATGGTGAAGTCACTGCTATGGTAGAGGGGATTGTAAAGTAGAAAGGACCATCACAATACTACTTTTGTAGTAGCAGGATAGCAGCATATTGAGCAAAAGGGGACACAGGCTTGTGACTGAAACGAAAGGGGAGGATATAGTTAGTTACCAGAATCTGAGTCATGAGGGCCTGGAGACGCTTCGGGATGATACTGAAGAGACATCACTTTCAATGCAGGGAAAGCAAGTCCAGCACAACTGCCATCGTTAAGATTGACATGAGTCACTTCTACACCTTGAGGGAGTGATGCAGGGTCGACAGCATAGTTATGATTCTGTCATGGAATACACCGTGGAGAAAAGTTCAGGTCATACTATATCAATCAAATAGAAAAGACAGTGGAAGATTGAAACTGAAAGCCAATGTGTGTTTCTGTGGATACTGAAGATAAGATATGCAGCGCTAACCTGAGCACTAATCTCAACACGGTTAGCTCGAATATTCCTAACCGGATGATTTCCTCCATGGTGGCCAAACTTCATTTTGAAGGTCTTACCACCTAATGCCTGTCCAAGCAACTGGTGACCCATGCAAATTCCGAAAACTGGAGCTTTACCCACTATGTTTTTGACAGTTTCAACTGCATAAGGAACTGCAGATGGGTCTCCCGGGCCATTGCTGAAAAGAACTCCATCTGGGTTCATCTTTAGTGTTTCTGAAGCTGGCCAGTTTGAAGGGACCACAGTAATTTTGCAGCCATATGATGCCAAGCGTCTCAGTATGTTATGCTTGATCCCGAAATCGTATGCAACAACCTTGAATTCATGGAAAACTTAACTGTGAAAAGAGCGCAAAAGATTATCATAAACGAATATATGAACATAAACCGGGGAGTAGCACTTACATGGAAGACCTCCCCCCTTCCTTCGTTATTAAAATCCCAATTTGGGCTTGTTCTATCAACCCATTCATATGGTTTGGTGCACGAGACATCACTTATTAGATCAACACCTGCCAAAACAATTAAGGGATGTTTTTTTCTCAAGTATCCAAGTTCAACAGTCAAGGGTGAGTCATTACCTACAATATCCCATGAGCGGGACATCTCAAGCAGTTCTTCATCACTCTTCACTTCTTCTGTGCTGAGCACGCCAATAAGACTTCCATCCTGCCTCAATCTCCGAGTAATTGCACGAGTGTCCACATCATCTATTATATCAAAAGGCACATATAGATAGATTATAATTCAAATATAAAAAACAAACAACTTAATTTGATCGAAGTTTAACAAAATGACAATGGTTAGAGCTTTACATATTCCCATGATGTTCCTCTCTGTTAAATAATCGCCGAGAGTTTTGGTGCATCTCCAATTTGAGGTACTGCACGAAGAATAAGTCATATAGAAGCAAGAACCCATAAGCCAGCAGACGAAGCAGGTAGATCCAGACAAAAAAGTACCTTATGCTTAAGCTCCTGATTACCAAGCCAGCAAGGAAACATTGCATTGATTCTTCGTCATCTGACAACAAGAACAGAAAGTTTGGAAGCAATGAATATATACACCAACAGAACAGAAAGTTTAACGGCCATGAGGTCACTTTGTCAATTCACCAGGTAGGATCAGCATTCAAATGATTTGAACATTCAAAACACTTCTTTCAGCACAGAGCTTTTTAACTTTTTTTAGTATCAGCAATCATGATAGGCAGGAAATGCACTAAGACCAAGTTTTAGATACTGTTATTCATGGATGCATAATTCAGCTGACCCACGTTTCTAGCATCTATAATCCCCACAAACTTAACCAACACACATTTGCTTAAACCAATTAATGTTTTAGATCAATTAGGCTCAAATAATCCATATTAAGTTGATAATGCACCCATGCATTCGGATTATATAAACATAGCTTCATCGATGGTCCACATACCAAAGTTTACACCAGTGTTGCCGATATGTGGGTTTGTCATCAGCACAAATTGACCGGCATAACTAGGGTCTGTTAGGATCTCCTGATACCTGTACAGAATGCACATACATCATACTACAAAAAGTAATTGCAGATGCCCATTGAAAGTAGTATAAGAAGATAATTACACACATCTCCAATCAAACATACAGCGCACAAGTCACAAGAACAAAGTAACATCGGATAGCTCTGTGTGTCAAATCGATGAAAAGACTACACACTGTCGAACATCAATCTCATCTTTCCGTAACTAGCTGATTACATCGTGACTACACTCTTAAGTCTTGACTACTTGAAGAACCACACCACAAGCAAAGTGTTGTTCCAACCCTTCCTTCAATCAGACTTAAGTTCACCAAAATTTACCCACCCCAGTGGTACACGACCAACACATAAAACCAGTGAATCAAAGTAGGCAAATTTAAGCAAATAACGAGGACTTGGGTTTCGAGTATCTACCCTGTCAAGGAGGTGTTGAATACGACTTCACCTACTTGGGTTCCAGTGGCACCAAAGGACTTGGCCTTCCACACTGAACCATCTTCAAGCACAAGCCTAGCATCTGAAGTTTTCCAAGGCCTTTCCAGAACACCTAACAAATTAACCAATTAAAAATGAAGTCTTTAGCCAAAAAATCCCTTCAATAAACACCTCCTTGGTTAAGAGATATTCATACGACAAAGGAACCAAAAAAGCAACTTGGGAAAAAATGATATTAGAAATAAAGGGGGGAAATTACCACCTGCGGCGGCTCCAGCGGTTGAGTTAGAAATGCAGCGGACATTGAAAACCCTGATGGAACTATGCTTAAACAAGCTTGGTAAAGCTTTGGTAGGGGCGAATAACGTAGCGGAGGAAGGATTTACGAATGCAAGCTCCATTCTCTTCCCTCTTCTGAGTTCTCCGTATCAGCTTCTGAAGTGTTCCCGCAAGGTTTTAGTTGATCACTTAGCCGGTGTGTGATGGAGGGCGGCGACGCCGAACAGAAAAAGGCGGGGGGCGGAAGTGGAGAGGGTGGTACTGGAGTGGAGAATGGGCCCAGAGGGGGTGGGCTGGGTAGATGGAGGCCCAGATGTAAGTGGCTGTTGAGCTGAGGGCCGTGAGGCTGGAGGGGAGGGCAAGCTGGACTGAGCAACCTGGTGGGCTCCGCTCGATAATTCGAGCCAACTATCGATCGGTATTTCAGTATATATCGATCTCAATCATATAATTTCTACAACCAAATAACATTTTGAAATTCAATCTCAATATCAATTCCATGAAATAATAGGGTTAATTGCATCGTTGGTCACTGAAATTACAAAAAGCGTCCATGTTTGGTCACTCAAAATATTTAAATCCATTTGTGGTCACTAACTTTACAAAAACCGTTCATTTATGGTCACTCTCCGTTAGCTGCCGTCCAACGCCGTTAACGGCGGCCGTTAAGTGATGACGTGGCTAACGGATTTTCCTAATCAACACTTTTTAACCCCAAAATTGACTGACCCGACTCGCCACGTCATTTAAACCCGCCATATCAGCTAAACCTAACCAAACCTCTACCCAAACCAGACCAGACCCGCTAACTAAAACAGAACTGACCCGACCCACCAATTAATCTAGCCACCTTTGACTAAAACCCTAATGGAAGACAAATCCAGTCCTCTCCTTCCCCTCCCGCTTCCTCTCCTCCTCCGCAGCTCTCGTAACCTCACCTTCTCCACTCTCTCTGCCTCATCCCGCCGGTGATGACGGCGCCGCTGCCACGCAGTTGCTCTCCGTCTCCTGGAACCAGGACTACGGCTGCTTCGCCGCCGCAACCACCTCCGGCTTCCGGGTTTACAGCTGCGAGCCTTTCAACGAGACCTTCCGCCGGGACATCCGGGGCGGCGGGTTCAGGATCGTCGAGATGCTGTTCTGCAGCAACATCCTGGCCCTCGTCGGCAGCGAATCCAACTCCCAGTCCCCGCCCAGCAGGGTCCTCATTTGGGACGATCACCAGAGCCGCTTCATTGGCGAGTTCTCCTTCAGGTCGCAGGTCCGCGCCGTGAGGTTGAGCCGGGATCGGATTGTCGTGGTGCTCGAGCACAAGATCTATGTCTACGATTTCGCGGATCTGAAGCTGCTTCATCAGATCGAGACGTTGGCGAACCCTAGAGGGCTCTGCTGCCTGTCTCATCACCCCAACACGTCCGTGTTGGCTTTGCCCGGGCTGTACCGTGGGCAGTTTCGAATTGAGCATTTTGGGTTGAATCTGGTGAAGTTGGTTAATGCTCATGATAATCATATTGCTTGCCTCGCAATTACCATGGATGGCCTGCTTCCTGCTACTGCTAGCACCAAGGGCACCTTAATCAGATTCAACCAAGGGCACCTTGAAGGAGGCGGATGGATTTGTCTTCGATTAATTGGTGGGTTGGGTCAGTTCTATTTTAGTTCGCGGGTTTGGTCTGGTTTGGGTAGAGGTTTTGTTAGGTTTAGCTGACATGGCGGGTTTAAATGATGTGGCGGGTCGGGTCAATCAATTTTGGGGTTAAAAAGTGCTGATTAGGCAAATCCGTCAGCCACGTCATCACTTAACGGCCGTCGTTAACGGCGTTGGACGGCAGCTAACGGAGAGTGACCATAAATGAACGGTTTTTGTAAAGTTAGTGACCACAAATGGATTTAAATATTTTGAGTGACCAAACATGGACGCTTTTTGTAATTTCAGTGACCAACGATGCAATTAACCCTGAAATAATAAGTGTATTTGATAATACCAAACATTGAGAAATTCAGTACAGTATTCTCTATATCCCAATAAGGCAATAACGAAGCATCAAACTTCTAGCTCTAGTTTTAAAGAGTCATTTGCTTTGCTTGTAATATTTTACATTTTGAAAAACCTCGGATTTGTTATAAGTTTATAGTTTTTAAATATAAAAGTAAATGATCATCATGAATTTAGAACTACGTCGCAAATCTCATACATATAAATAGGATTTTACAAATACTCCAATCTCATTCTGTGATTGGCATACTAATAATGATCCAAGAACTGATGATACATAAGCCTATACAGAATCACTTCCCCAACTCATCTACTACTCTACTGTATATAAAAATCATTACTCGGAATAATAAGCCAGTAGAATATAACCAACATCCTTTCACGAGATGTGGTCAAACAAAGCTACGGGACTAACTTCACTCGCTATTTTCATTCAACTCCCGCAGGCTAGGCAATCATCACGGTTGTTCAAAGAGCAAACCATCTGCGCCATCTTGGTGCCATCATCTTCAACCTCCTCAACTTTTAGCTTCTTGTCCTGTGTAAAAAACCGTTAGTGACTACAGAGATCAAACCAAAGAATGCAAGATGCAAGATACTTAATGGAGTGATAATAAGAAATCCTTTTTTTTTTACCTTGAGATCGGTAGTGTCGACGGTGAACTTGATGGCATCAGCTGCTGCACGCGACCTCAGATAGTACATTCCCGTCTTGAGACCCTGCATGAAAACAGAACGTGACCGTATGAGGTTTCATGGTTGGATCTCGAAAGGTGTCGGTGTATGTACAGTTGCTGATCTCAATAATATTGCATACCTTGGTCCAGGTATGGAAATGCAAGGAAGTGAGCTTCCCGAAATTGGGTTGGTCCATGTGAATGTTAAGGCTTTGGCTCTGGTCGATGTAGCAACCACGATCAGCTGCCATGTCGACAAGAGTCCTCTGCTTGATCTCCCAGACAGTCCTGATATAATGATTAACCAATTGCATTAGCGAAACCATGAGAGCGAGAATATGGAAGGAATTGGCATGTGGGAGTTGGAAAATACACGTACTTGTATATAAGCTTGAGGTCATGAGGGACCTCGGGCAGTTTCTGGACTGAACCATCTTCGTAGATTATTTTGTTCTTGAGGGCTGGATTCCAGATACCCATCTCGGTCAGGTCATGAAGAAGATGTTTGTTGACAACAACAAATTCGCCGCTGGAAGACAAGGCAAAGTTAGTTCGGTTACGAGATTGAGATGACTAACTGAAAATGGATGAACTGTAGAGTTTCTTTGGGGGTACCTCAAAACCCTGCGACTGTAGATATTGGAAGTATACGGCTCAAAGCACTCATTGTTTCCGAGAATCTGGCTGGTTGAGGCAGTAGGCATTGGTGCTACAAGAAGTGAATTCCTGACTCCGTTCTTTGATATCATGTCCCTTAGAGTGTCCCAGTTCCATAGAGCTGAGGGAGTCACACCCCACATGTCCGGCTGCAAAGTTCCCTGCAAATTTCCAGACATGTAAACGGTCATAAACCCGAAAAACCATGGGACCATATCATAACCATCAGTTCATAGTTATTGTCGAATTCTCAACAAGCATTTTGGCATACCTTACTGACAGGACTTCCGGGATATGTCTCGTAAGGACCTTCTACTGCAGCAATCTCACTTGAAGCTTTCAGGGAATGGTAATAGATTGTTTCGAATATATCCTTGTTCAGCTGTTGAGCCTGAAATGCACATCCCAGTAAACTAATTAGAAAACTCAAGTCATCCAAGTTTAAGTTTAAGACCAGGCCTCAACTAAAAATGAATAAGCAAAAGAACAACCGGAAACCTATTGCAGTTGTTAACAAAGTTACCTCTGGGGAGTCAAATGCCATGCCTAGCAAAATGAAGGTATCTGCAAGGCCTTGAACCCCAATTCCAATGGGCCTATGCCTCATATTTGACCTCCTTGCAGTCTCAACAGGGTAGTAGTTCACATCAATGATTTTGTTGAGATTGTAAGTCACAACTTGGGTAACCTGTAATAAAGGAATTGAAGAATTGGAAACATGAAATACTATAAAAATGAACTCTGGACGGGTTAGCTCAATCAACTCTGGCATCATAAAATCACATACCTCGGCTAATTTGTCAAAATCAAAATATCTGTTCATGGACCCTCTGCTTCCCACAATCTTAGATGGATGTGATTCCATTGGTACTCCCTGAGAACATTGGCAAATGTTGTAAGACTAGAGCCTAGAGGTATACCACATAACAGATGACCCATACGATCCACATCAGAAAAGGAGATAAAGCAGCAAACCTTTTCTCTAACGAATCGTGGAAGTGCAATTGATGCCAAATTGCACACAGCAGTTTCAGTTGGACTTGTATACTCAATTATCTCAGTACATAAATTGGATGATTTTATTGTTCCTAGATTCTGCTGATTGCTCTTTCTGTTACAAGTATCCTGCAGAGATAATAACCACTAAATTGTTAAGGAATAAAACAGAAATAGAATATGCAAACATATCTCAAAACTTCAGAGTGCTTACCTTAAAGAGCATGTAAGGGGTTCCAGTTTCAATTTGGGATTTTAGTACTTCAAACCACAAACTTTGTGCTGTGACCACCTTCTTGGCCTTTCCCTGATCAAGTAACAGGTTTTATTACAATCAAACTCTCAAACATGATTCACCAGATACCCAAGTATCCAGCAATGAGAAGGATTTCAAGTAAAGCACAGTGAACTTACATCTCTTTCATATTTGGTGTACAATTCCTCAAACTCTTTACCCCAACAGTCAGCCAAGCCAGGTGCCTCACTAGGACAAAACAAAGACCATGTCCCATTTGATTGGACTCTTTGCATAAAAAGATCAGGCACCCAAAGTGCATAGAATAGATCCCTTGCCCGGTTCTCCTCCTACAAGATCACGTTATACACATTTTTATTTTGTTTATATAAGTAAACAACAACAAGATGATAAAGAAAATGCTTGCTACTCCATCATACCTTTCCATGATTTTTCCTAAGATCCAGAAAATCAAATATATCAGCATGCCATGGCTCCAGGTACACAGCAAATGCTCCTATAACCAGTACAAACCAAGTCAGCTATATATGCAAGAAAACCACACAATAAACAATTATACAAGACACAAGAAACTTAACATACCCTTCCTCTTGCCCCCTCCTTGATCAACATATCGGGCAGTATCATTGAATACCCTTAACATTGGGACAATGCCATTGGAAGTCCCATTTGTTCCACGAATATAACTACCAGTGGCACGGATATTGTGCACAGAAACACCAATTCCTCCAGCAGATTTGCTGATAACAGCACACTCCTTCAAGGTTTCATATATTCCCTCAATGCTATCATCCTTCATGCATATCAAGAAACAGCTACTTAACTGTAAAAAAAACACACACACACACAAATTAGTCTCCCAAACTGCCCTGAAATTCACAACCAAATTAACAGCTTAAGTAACATATGATACGTACTTGAGGCCTTGGTGTTCCAGCATTGAAAAGAGTTGGAGAAGCATGAGTAAACCATCTCTGAGACATTAGGTGGTATGTTTTAATGGCTGCATCAATATCATCCTTGTGAATGCCAACAGAAACCCTCATCAGCATATGTTGAGGCCTTTCAACAACCTTCCCCTGAACCTTCAACAGGTATGACCTCTCTAGTGTCTTGAATCCAAAGTAATCATAATCAAAGTCCCGGTCATAGATTATCTCACTGTCCAATCGAGCTGCATTCTGAGACAAAAAAAAAAGTGGCCACAGTGTCAGTAATTACCTCACTGGACATTACAAACTGAGCAGTATTTTCATCCATATCAGCTAGAATATCACCGTGCATATTGCCTATTCTCAAAACATTCAACTAGTACAGAAAAATTCAGAATATTCGATCATCAGTCTGAGTCTTTAACAAAATCACAGTCACTACAATTCACAAACTAAATACCAAATTCAGGAACACGAAGACACCTTAGAAAACCAGTTACATTTGGAAAAAAGGTACCAATACATGAAGGAAACTATGCTTCTACGCCTACAAGACATCCATCTGGTACCCAAAAGGCTGAGAGGCATGATATGAGGTTATTATCTTTCTCAAGCACAACATGACTTTCTTAACAATTCAAGACTAGATCAAAACACCCTAACTTAGCGATAACATTTAATTATAACAGCTTCTGCAATTAACATTCTCACTGTACATTAAACAAAAGTAAACAAAAAAAAAACAACAAAACTGAGCCAAAAATTAATCTTGATCTATACCTTCATAATGATCTCGTAAATATCATCAGCAATCAAAGGAGCCTTCAACCCAGATCTCTCATTGAAATGATGGTACATCACTTTCACACTGCATCATTACGCAAAACAAAATTTAAAATCCAAATCTCGTAGCCAATCGTACACTAAACCAATCAAAATTAACAATCCACATCACAATCTTACGTCTCAGAGAAAGATTTCATCGTGTTCTTATGCAAATTCGACACCGCAATCCTAGCAGCCAACTGCCCACCAGAAACCAAAACACAATCACTGAATCACATACTATCCAAACCAAAAAAGCAAAGGGAAGTTACCTCAACATAGACTAAACTAAAACTCACGGAGGCGTAATCAGGATGGTTGGCAGTCATGGCGGCGGCGGTCTCAGCGGCCAGCTCATCCAGCTGGCTGGTGGTGACGCCCTTGTAGACCCCGGCGCAGACCTTCTGCGCAACCAGCACAGGGTCGCAGTGGTCGATGCTGAGGCCATAGCTGAGCTTCTTCAGCCTGGCGGTGATCTTGTCGAAGTGGACGGTTTCCTGCCTTCCGTCTCTCTTCACCACGTACATCTTGTCTTCTCTTTCTCCGGCTTCCCTTTCTTTTTCACTCTCACGGGAATTTCGTCGAACAGGTTTAAGGCGCGCTTGGGATGGAGAAATGGGGGTTAGGGACTTAGGGTTATATATGTGAGGATAAGGCTGGGCCGCTGGAGGCGTACTTTGGAAGTTAGACAGAATGTGAAAAGGGACTTTCTGAATTTTTTTTAAAAAATAAGAATTGAATTATCGAGGGAAGGGTTTTGAATTTGGCGCCAGGAATTTGGAGGAGAGTAGAGCTCCGGCGCGCCTCGCTTGAGAAATTGGGCAGCCAGCTGGCAGCGAATGGAATCTTCAATCTTGTGTTTTTTTAAATTTGAAAGGAGGAGGTAAGTAGGAGGAAAGTGGTGGGGCCCGCTCGTGATACAGGGGGAGCGGAACCCGGTTTGGCGCGCATTTTAGTTAATTTTACAGCTTTTGGCGCCATATTGATAAACTTGTGAGGTTTCAAAAGTGTTGACCCAGAATATTAAATAAGTAATTTTCTTATTTTCGAATTTCATTCGTACTTGTTTTCGTAAGTTATTAATTAAAATTTTGATTTCATTTTATTACCATGAAAATATGGAAAATATGAAGGTAAAAAAGAAATTATGGTGTGAACTGTGAAGGCAAATAGGCAATGGAGTCTCTCATTTCGGCCCAACCTCTTATTGAGCACTGCACTGGCCCGAAGAAACTCAGATCACTGGGCCGTAGCCCGCTCATTTGGGCCCAACCTCTTTATTGAGCACTGGCCCGAAGAAACTAATATAAGTTGGAGCAGTATCAAATCACTGGGTCGTGGCCCAATTCACTTGATAAAATCTCGTACGGGTAAGGTACGTATTTAACTCAAATGTGCATGGTTTCGAGTATCTTCCTGATTCCCTTTTCCCATACATTGGTGCACTGACTGTGGTTAGACGATAACTGTTTGGTAGTTAGGATTATCTAATTTGACGTATTTAATCAATTGATGTATTCTAATTAGATGTATTATGTTAATGTATAAATTTGAAAAATAAATTGTTTGGAGGTTGAAAGATTTCGGTGGTCCGTCAAAAAACAAGAAAGAAAAAATGAGAGATCAACAATAGTCCATAATGAATGATTCTGATGGATACATGGTGAAAATATATATATGGAGTTCAATGCTCCAGATAATGTCATCCAAAGTAGGAATCTCTTTTTACTCACGATCATAGGATGAGAAAGAGCAGTTGGGAATTGTCACAGAACACATGTAAGTTTTGAGGGGGAAATATGCTCATGTATGCTTATCTCGGTGATTGAACTCCCCGCTTTGAAGTGGTATAATAGTTTTTTTTAACTGCACTAAAATTCATTCATCAACCAACCAATAACAATATAGAGGTTCCACACTAGAACCCCCTTACTTTCACTATTCCTGGCTCCAGCGCAGTGCACGGGAGGGTCCTTTGGTCAATTTTATTTTTATTTAATATGGGCTAGAGCACGAGAGGATCGTTTGAGGCCTCTACCAGAAACTTCCCTTAATTATACTCTCTTATATTTACAACCCATCATTTGTGGCTTATTGATTATTATTATTATTATACTTATGATAAGCACAAGTAATTCATCAATTCCCTCTCTGTGTTAACTATTCAAGGTTCCCTGGAACAAGTAGACAAGTGATTAGAAATTTTAGGGATTAGGATTTCTTTGCAAGGATTTGGGTTGGTGGTGGTGTGTTTTAAGTTTGTTTTGTTCTTATTTTTTAATTAGTTAGGGTCATTAGTAATTTTCAGTCAAATCATGTTTGACCAGATTTAACAATTTTTTGGATGGAAAATCTAACTGAAGGGCATGTTTGAAAAAAAATTCATAATAGAAGGACAAATTTGACGTGAAAAATAGTATTGTGGCAGGTTTGAGAAAATGTAATAGTAGAGTGGCAATTTATACTACTATTGTATTTATATTAGAAACTATAAACTATATTTAAGTTATTTATTAAGGTTTTCATGTTCATGCTAGAACCCGTCATATGGCAGAACTATTTTGCTTATATTATTAGTAGTTCTCTGCATGCATCGAAGAAATATTATGCATGAGAATTATCCAAACAACCAAAAAAGATTTCAATTCTATCATTAAAAGTTAATATAAATACAAATAATATTATTAGCATAACTATGTACATCTTACAATTTAATGTTTGTTATCTAAAACACAAAATAGTATGAACATTGATGAAATATCAATTATTTATAATCTCTAACTATTTGACCCTGCTTGATCTTACAAAAATATTACCCTCAACTTTACATTTTCATAAATTGATGTAGAGTTGATAGAATTGGTCAACCATTGGCAAAATTAGCAAAAAGAATATATGCTCTTTATATAAGGAAAAGGCGTATATATGAAAAAATTGTCAACATTCCTACTGGTAATCCATTGAATACATGTTTAATTTTTTATTTATATGTTATCAAATTTTGTATTGCCTGCTAAGATTGGTTATTTTACTTTTTCATAAAAAAGATTGCTTATTTTACTGATTTCTATACAAGATTTCGAAATGAGATGAATAACTTACAAACCAAGAGAAATAGATTGTAAGCTCCATCAAACTTGCCAAAAATCGTTATAATCGTCTTCGAGTGATGCATTATGAATAAATTGAAGGTTTATTGATATTTACAGCATCTGAGTTTTCCTCATTTATTTTAATTTTAATTTTTTATCAATGTATTTCTTATATTGGAGTTTTAATTATATTGCAGTTGTTAAAGAGTTTGGTATAGGACACTCATCGCATAAATGTGGATATTAGCAAAGATGTGGAAGGGTGAAAGTACCAAACCCACAAGGAATTCCAATCAACCAAAATTTTCATTGTGTTGTAGATAATGCAAAATTAACTTCCCTCCTCTATAGCAGTCTTCAGAGGTTTTGAATATGCTATTGGATGCAAATACTTCAACTAGACGTCACTTTTTGGAACATATCTAAGGTTATAATGGGGTATTCACATTGATTTCTATTAGAGGTAAACTGCACTGATCTATATATGATGGATACAAAGTATATGTTTATTCAACTGGATGTCAAATATATCATGAAATCCGTAGCCTAATGCCAACTGAAAGGAACATACCAAAATTTGTTCAACTCTACAAATATGACACTGGCAATGAACTCCAAAAATGGTTAGATATTTTCTCCATGATCCAGTTTCAATTCCTTTGCGCAATTCAATTATTCAACAATTGTAGAAGATGGTAGATTGAAGTAATATCTTAGTATTGAAATCTCAATATGCGAGGGATATATTAAATGGCACCATAGTTCAGCAAGTTGAAATTAAGTTGCTTGCTAAAAGAGAAGAGGACTGTAGTGAATATGATTTACCATATGCAAATGACATCATTCCTTTAATTTTTGAGGTCAAACATTTTCTCATGATATTTTTGTCCAATATCAAAGTCATCAACTAGAACAAATTAGTATATATCATCCAAATTTAATAGCTTTGCAATATCTCATATTATTCTCACATGTTGAGATGGATGACACACAAATATTCCATTTTATGGCAGTGAGGATGCATATGGAATGAATGAGAAAAATGTGGCATGATGTGATTTTTATAGTTATAGGCTCCAAATAAGACTGGAAGAATCTAACTTATTGCTATTGGGTGGAAAGTTGTTCCAACCTTATGTTCTTAATGCATATGCAGAAGTTAAGCTTTGAATTTGATTAAAAACAATCAAACAAAATTCTGACAACATTACTACCAAGTTCGTTTGCATTCTGGAATTGAAAGGTGATTCAGATACATCTAATCATTGATATAATGTGAAAGTTTTCAGAATGCTATGACAATTTGTAGATGGGAAGGATATCTAGATCTTTTCATTACATTTACATGTAATCCTAATTGGTATGAGGTTCAATACATGTTTGATTTGATAAGAACTACTATATATTAGAAATGATCCTAATAGAGTTGATGTCTTCGCAATAGATTTTAAGCTGAAACTAAATCAATTGCTGAACGAGATTTTGGGAAATTATTTTTTGGAAAAATATGTGCATGTAACTTATATTCCTTAGTTTAACTTGAAGCAAAAATTTCATAAAATAATTTTATAAACTGTATGCATCATTATACATATTCAAGATCTACCTTTGGGTTGTAAAAAAAAAACAGTCGAGGTTGACTTTGTTGTTATGGATTGTGTGAGTGCTTAAATTTTTGAAATACCGGCTGAAAGGTTATTTCCAAATAAAGATAAATTACACGTGTCCATCTCCTACAAATTGAGAGAATAGTGTCAAAGTTTGACATCAAACTCGCAAATTACAACATCTATAACCCAACAATTGAGTACTTACATGATTGGGAAGGTAAATGAAGACAGAACACAAACGATCTCTTGCACTTGATAGAGGTAAATTTTACTTGCATGAAATTGTGGATCCATATTAATTAGAAGGCTACAATATTCTTTATTGGATTTGGAGCATATTTGATATGTGCACCCGCGGATTATTATATAATTAACCTACCTACCATGTCAACTTATCACATGTTGATTTTGTAATGCATTTAATTTCCTACTAATTGTCCGGCTATCAACTGTATACGTCTATCATTTTTGAATCTATCATCTCTTATACCGTACGTAAATGATACTTAGTTGTACTCTAATTTCCAGAGATACAAATGCTATTTATATCTTCAAACTCTAATGGAACTTTCCTTTATTTCCTGGTAACATGCATGCAACTGTATCAGGATACAATTCCAATGTATATTAAATTATTAATCACTTATGCTAGGATAACGAGATTGCTAAAAGTGGACGTAATGGATCCAATGCTAGAGTGATAATAGAAGGAGTCTTGGGGTAGATTAAAGTACCGATAATGGGGAGCAAGACACAAATCATGGCTCTTATTTATATTTTGGACGAGGTAAATTCTACTCAAAATGAAAAAGATGATTTGTACTGGTAAATATTTTACCATTAATTTTTGGTTGTCAATGAAATGTAGGGGAAAAAAGAGAGACTATTGAAATGCAATAGAAAAAAGACAATTTAGAATGAAAATAAATTTTTCACTAATGGAGTTGAAGATGTAATTATTAAGGGAGATGATGATGCCGCTCATAGCGGAGGGAACACAAACAAGTCCAA